CAACTCCTTGCCAAATCACATTTTATGTGAATACTAATCTTTGTCTATGAATTCATTGGACCGTGAGTTATCTCAATAAACCCAATAATTCATTTCAATTTAGACCCAAACATTCAAGGATATCGTATAACCCATTATTTGATTCCCTCAAGAAATAAGTGACCTTGAGTTATTTCAATAAGTTAATAACAACTAAGAGAGTTCTCTCTTCATAACATTGGAATGCATATAACTTAAAATTTGTTTGAAGGATTTTATATTATACGATCTCATCATTTTAATCTTATTATGCATACTATAGTTTAATTATATTAATCTTATACATGACTCAAGGATCGGTGAATGATAATATATTTCTACTACTAGTCCTTTTGAGCCATAAGAAGACTAGTGGGTCATAAACCTAGTGAAAAATTATTACATTTTCTTCATGATTGTCTTCTCTTCTTGGTTCTTTCTCCTTGTGCTATTCCTCTAATCTATCTTTTACTTTTATAATTTTTAAATAAGAAATCTCAAGTTACATTTAAGGGGAGTAGAATAAGAAGAGAAATATTTCAAAATAATAGAAAAGATAAGACACACGAGCTCAAATTAACTAAAAAAATACATTCCCAAAATCTAGTTACCATTTACTCATACTTTAATCACATTGGTAAATGACATATAAATAAATAAAACAGATTTCATTTGAATATAAATATAAATATGTGATTTTGGTCATTTTATAAAAACATTTAAAATATTTTTTAATATTAATTTTTAGACTTTTAGGCCTTAGGCTCATAAGGTTTTGGGCCTTGGAGGTCTATGGGCGGGTTTGCCCTCATCGGCTAGTGCCCGAGCATCGACTTGGCACTTTTTAGCTTGGCACCGACCTTACGTGCAAGAGGCACACCTAGCCTATGGCTGGCTCGGCTCGCGTGAGGCACACCTACCTCGAGGTTGACTCGGAGTGTGCGATGGTTTGGCGGGCATGCACCGGCCTAGTGCTCTCGAGCATGTGACTTGGCGCTATCTTGGCGTACACGTGCCGTGGCTAATGCCCGGTGTCAACCTCACGTGTACCCTTCCACTAGCCCCAAGTTAGATTTTAAACAATTATAAAATGCCAAAATCATTAGATTTATAAAGTAAAATTCAATAATTATTATAGTTAATCAAAATTAACATTAATACAATTAAAAAGTTAATAGGGGTTCGATACCAATTCAAGGAGCATGCATCCTATGGAGGTGTAGAATAAACAAAAATTTTGTTCTCCTCCATTTAAAGTTATTAAGACCAACCATTGAATCAACTAATTATATTAGCAATAAAATGATTAGAGGTCACCTCTTATGGTGTAAAAATCAATTTACAAAAAGAACTATCCAAACGTCCAGATCTCTACTAATGATCTACGTAGCTTAAATAATCACACAATAAGTATTAGAAATTGTAAAATGTTAGCTCCATCCTTTTCTATAAAGTAAATTTTTTCTCAAAAATCTTTTAGGGTTGATGTACTATATTTTCTAAGGGAGAGATGCGACAGACTTTTACCTTTTAAGGGAAAGACATTTTTTCTTTCTCAAAGATTGTGTGTGTATTATTTTCTTACTCTTATATCGTGTCTCTCTTCCTTTTCTTATATATATAGGCGGTAACAACTCCTTCTTAGGAAAGAAGTTTTTGCTTATGTCGGTTTAATTTAACCTTATCCTTGTAAACTTCGAGTCTTATCCTTTAGTCTTCAAGATTATCCATTCATAAAAAATATCTTGTTGGCTTTTAAATTAACATATTGACCTAAAATCTTTTGGTCTAATTAATTACTAATTAATTTTGGACCTTTGAAATAAATTAGGACAAATTTTTTTGATAGGCCCACATTAGAAAGCAATTTCCTAAGTTATTTTTTAACCTAAATTAGAAAACTGATTTCTATTTTAGGTAACTAACTTCCAAATTTAGAAATTGATTTCGAAAGTAAGAAAATGATTTCTAAAATAGGAAACTCGATTTCTATTTTAGGAAATTGATTTTTCAAAAAGAAAACTTTTTACAAAATATATGCTTCTCTTTTATTGTGTGAATGTTTAAATATATACGTATGACTCAATAGGCTCCTAGATATGCCGATAATATATTAAAAAGATAAAAGATACCTCTTTTATCTCTTGATACATAAATGAAGATTAGCTTTTAACAAGGCATCATGACTATCTAATTTTCTAGAAAGATTAATTAATCTATAATTACCTTTCACGGTATGGTTTCTATATAATTCAATTCTCATATCAATTTATCACGAGTGTGATCTCGAATTTAGTTCATACTCTATTTGATTATGATCACACGAGTTTTTTTTTAATCTTTAAATATCATAGCTCTCAAGTAAACCAACGATACTCTATTGGTATACTTCCACTATGGGCACGGATTCATGAGCGGACATTCATCGAAGTGTAATATGATAACTCCTTTAACATATAAGGAATCACGAGTCCTATCTCAATCATCCACCCATCCCCATTAAATTCCTAATACACCCAATGAATCATCTTCACGCATCTCTTTACTCGAGCCCATAAAAAAGAATGTCAAAGTACACCAATCCTCTAATAAGATAACCGTGATGACTTTAAGTCAAAGAACTACTTATATCCATCTTGTATGAGATTTTTATAGCCAATACCAAATGGGTTCTCATGACGAATCACGTCTAGTGGAATGTTCTCTAACATTATTCACTTGAGTGTTTGTTTGGCATCACTATGCTAGTAGGTGTGAGATCTCCTACTACTATCTTATAGTATGAGTATAACACTAACAAGTCTTACTCGCACATTGTTAATATCCAATCTTGATAATACTACGACTTAGGACATTTAATGGTATTATTTAAATGTATTGATATTTGTCTCACATCTATTAATCAAATATTAATGCAATGTATATCACATGAACTTCTATCTAATTCTATCAAATTATAAATAATAAAAATTAATAAAAAGACTTCTTTATTAACATTAAAATATAATGATATAATATATCAAATCATCCAAACATATGGATCTAGGACACCTACACTAACATATAAAACACAAGGTACTAAAAAAACAACTTTCAATAAGGTGGATGATGTAATTGTTTTGGCATATTTTAATACTATAGATTGGCATATGTTTTTTTTTATGATAATATGAGCACTAATAAGCTTACTAAACACATTTAAACAAACTTGATAGGTAGAATAAAAAAGGATCGAATGTTTATAGAGGATGTACATAAAGTCTATAATAGCTTTTGGAAGAATACTTAAAAAAAACATTTGAAACTAGTCGAGTATGATGGAAACGAGAGCAACTACTAAAGAATTTAGTAATGGTACCTCTAATAATTCATAATGTTAGTGTTAATGTAGAATGTTAGAAAAGTAGGCAACGATTCCACTATGGATTATCTTAAATTATTGAAAACTTAAAAAAAAAAAAACCAATGCTTATAGTCATTTTAGAGTTTAAGCTAGATGGTAGTCAATTGGAAAAAATAGCCAAAATTAAGTTATGGATATTATCTACATAAAAATTCAATTAACAATCACATATGGCTTCTATAGAGTGATCCGATTATAGTTGATTGTATGAATTTTAATAGCCAAATGATTACGGTTTTAGCAAAGTACGATGATTAATTGAACACCATTTGTACTTTTGTGTATAAAAAATGTTGCGTACTAGAGCATCGTAACTTGTGGAATCTTTTAAATTTGGGTGCTATGGTTACGTGCCCTTAGATGATAGGGGAGACTTTAATGTTATTGCAGATATCTCATGAAAGCTTATGATAATGGTTATAGTTTCCTAGTATAGAGGATTTTAACAAATGATGTAGGCGGATATGAGTGGATGATGCTGGCATTCAAGATAACAAATACACTTGGAGTAATAATTAGGGTTTGTGGAGTAGAGTTTAGCAATGTTTGGATAGCGTTTTAGTGAATAGTAATTTTAAAGCCGAATTTACATCATCTCCTCGGGAATTTTTTAGATCACTCTCCTTTTCTACTCAAATTTATTATGCCAAGGGTGGGTCGAGCTATGTTTAGATTTCATAAGCCGTGGTTGCACCATCATGATCAAATATTTTATCTTTTTTTTTTTTAAGTATATTATTTTCACGAATGCTTATTATTTTTAAATAAGAGTAGCGTGGTTGGATATATATATATATATCTTTTTGTTAGATGCTCTTTTTTTTGTTTATGTTTATTATTTTTAAATAAGAGTAGCGTGGTTGGATATATATATATATATATATATATATATCTTTTTGTTAGATGCTCTTTTTTTTGTTTATGTTATGAACTCTTAATCTAGTGGATATGATTATAATGTGTGTGTGTGTGTATATATATATATATATATCATTTGTTTTATTAGAAATTAGCTATATATCTTTACACATAATACCAATTATTTGTTATTTATTATTTTTCATATTCTAAAATCAATTTTTCTTATGTAAAATAAGTTAAACAATATCTTAGAAGAAATGTTCGATTATTCAAATACAACCTTTTATACCAATATTATTGATTATTTTGTTAATAAATATATATAAATCAAATTTACATACTTTCAAAAAAATAATATTCCCATAAACATTAAATAAGAATAAAAAAACATTTGTTAATTTCTATATAACTTGTTATATCAATTGTTACTTTATTTTTTTGATGCAACCTTATGAAAAAATTATTAAAACATATTTTTAACTGTTACATTAAATTTTCTATTTATATTATTGTAATTTTTTATTTAAAAATAAATACATAAAAAAAGAATAAATTAATATTTTTTTTAATATGAAATTTAAATAAAGTATATAAAATTAAATAATTTTATATCTGTTTAGTCTGACTCGCAGCGAAACACGAGCAAGCAACTCGTTACTGTCTAACCCATTAGCCTTTGTAGTTTAGCCATACCGTAGTTATCTACTCTGAAGCGGGAATGGAAACGGTTGGACAAGAAAACAACACACAAGCTCTATGTTTATCAAAAATGGCCACTGCTCTTCCTTCAACTACCTTTTGCCAAACTTCTTTTACTTTCCCTCCTCAAAATTCATACAAAGTTAGGAGTCCCTCTCTAATATTCCGTACGAAAAGTCATGGTCTTCTTCGTTGTTCGGCCAAGAAGAAAATAAGCATCGTGGATCAAATTCTTGATTACATTGAAGGTGCAGCATTGATATATGTCTGACCAAGCAGCATTCCTTGGTGTACAAATTCATATTTGAGTAATGATTATATCTCTTATTTTATTTGCAGGGGGACCCAAGTTAAGGAAATGGTACGGGGCACCTGATCTTCTGCCAAAAGATGGATCTGGCAAAGAAGATGAAGATGAGTTTTCAGGTACTGTTTTGGATTTTTAGATTTATGTTTCTTTTCATGGTTTTTCATTTGAATTGCAATCCATTTCTTGAAAGAAATTTGACCTCTCTTTTTCAAACACAGAGGACGATGAAGTAAGAGACGCAGTTCTAGTCACAGATGGAGATAGCGAAATTGGTCAGGTGTGTTTCATCATAAAGACTCATGTGGTTAAACAAGTGTCGATTGCATTAATCTGAGCCTTGTGATTCTAGCTTCTGTAGATGATAATATTGTCATTGATTGTCAAAAAAGCTCGAGTTAAAGCATTGGTGAAGGATAAGCGGACAGCCATGGAAGCTTTCGGAACTTATGTTGAGGTAGATGCTTACTAGTCAATGATATTTTCATGGTCATTTATCTTTCTTGGCTGATGATTTACTTTTATCGATTTTTATCATGGTTCTTGTGTTATTTGTCTGCAAAAAAGTCAATGGCAGGAGATCCAAGTAGCAAGCCATTCCTTAAGAAAGCCCTGATAGGCGTTCGTGCAATTATCTGCCCAACTGTACGTGTTTATGGGATCTCTTTGGTTCTTTTTCCCTTTAATTTTGTCTTTTTGATGTTCAGTGGCAATATAATTGCCAAATAGAAATCTGAGTTCTTCTATTTACGTGTTTAATTCTGTGCCAACTTTGAAGTACTCCTGCAGATTATATGTTCTTGATTATATTCTTAATCTAATTAGAATTCTTACTTATCTGTGAATTTCGTTCCATGCCATAAATTTATCAGGAATTTGAAATTAGTCACGCCCTTCATGGTGTAAGGTGTACTTTATTAATCCAACTAGCTAGGTTGACTCTGATACTGGCATCAATTTCTCAGAATTTCGTGAAGATCTAAGAATATCCGGTAATAGTTTCAAAAGTATAGCTTTTGATTTTGGTTTTGAAATCTACTCCTAGGCATATAATTTTGGATAGTTTTACCTACTTAAACAAGGCATACAGTATTGAAAGTACAAACCAGCAGCCAAGTAGCTGAACTGTCAGTCCACATCTTTGTGGGAGGTCACCCACTCGCAGAGAATGAGCGCAGGGAAATCGACACAGATAATTGTAGTCCAGACATTGTACACTGGCACGCTCATATTTTAGCGTTCTTGTTGTTTGGCTCTAAGCATTTGTCTTGTCAACACAACCAGCCAAGCCAATTTCAGCAATGAAATTCTGAAGAAAATTAAGTTAAAAATAAAATGACTACAAGCTGGTCTATATTTCTGCTTCAAAGTATGCCAAGTAATGGGCTTCCCTGACTCCATGTTTTGCTCCCATACCTGCAGGAAGGCTTCCTGTCTGATGTTGGGAGCTTGAAAGGTGTAAAACATGTAATCCTCTTGTCCCAGGTATCTCTCTTTATGTCTCTCTCTTTAGGACTACGAAATGAGAACACCTTCCCAATGTTTGTGGTTTAATAGGGTTACAGTTATCTGTATATAGAGGCAGCGGTGGCATACAAGCTCTAATGAAAAACAATGCAAAAAAATTGGCTGAGAAAGATGAATCAACACTCGTGGCCACAGGAATTCCTTACACCATCATTAGAGCTGGCACGTTGCAAAATACACCAGGCGGAACACAAGGTTTTAGCTTTGAAAAGGTATTTTAATTTCAATTAGGTAGACAGGGTTTTTTTTTTTTTTTGGGGTAAGTTAGCACATAAAAACAAGTATCTCTCTCTTTATAGCTGATTTGGGAAAAAATGCTTACAATTTGGTGTAAAATTGATGATGACAGGGTAGTGCAGAGAAGGGGAGTCTCAGCAAAGAGGACGCTGCCTTCATTTGTGTGGAAGCTCTTGAGGTAGTTCCACTAGTAGGATTCACATTCGAGGTTGGTAAAATATAGCACTCAAATCCATCCATTCATATAATTACTCAATCCTGCTTCTTTATTTATTATTATTATGCATAAAATGCAAACTCTATTCTTTTTTGTTCATCAATTAAGTTGAAAGAATGTAGCTGCTCACATTTTTATTGAGTCAGAAAAATGAAAACTCTATTCTTGTTTTATTCTTTTTTCTTCCTTTTGGGATAGTTGCTCGCATTTGTTATCTCATGTGCAACACTCCTCAATAACAGTGTCAAATGAAATCAAATTTGGGGCATTCACGTGGATGTTCTTGATGAGATGATCATTTTGCTCTCTGTTTTTCTGCAGTTGCTGCAATATTGCTTCAGAATGAAACAGGTTTTTTGGTTGAAAATAAAACAAAACCAATAGTCAAGAATCGTGGCATAACAAATTTTGTGTAGTAGTTCAGACAAGTCATGGCCAAATAACATACTGTTGATGTAGGATAATAATTTCTCGAGACATGAAGTAGTAAACATTCTCGATCCAAGATATGTAAAATAAAATAGAATAATTTATTGTCCAAGAAACATCCAAATTTAGACTTTTTTTTTAATTTATTTATTCCGACCATGCCATTATCTTTTGATATTCTTTTATTTATTTTAGCAACTGCATTATCAAAATTATCTGCTTTGTTTTATAACAGGCGGTCAACGGAGAGGAGAAGGTTTCAGATTGGAAAGAGTGTTTAACAAGATTGATGGAGAAATCAGAACAATAACATCTCCCATACGGCATATAAATATTTGTTTATTTGCCGTCCCTATTGGTGATGCTTCCAATGAGTTGGTTTTGCATAAGAAATGAAGCTGTACAAACTTGGGCAACTGCTGTTGTCATGAACGATTTGAGCAGATTAAAACTAGGATTAATTAATAGCATAATTAGTCTTTGTATTCTCCAAAATTAGTCTTTGTATCCTCCGTGTTTTCTTAATATGAACCTTTTATTATTTATTTATTTGATCCTTCCATTTTAAATATTTTTTTTAATGTGATCTATCGGATAAAATTTCAGTCAATTTTTTGACAACAAACAATAAGTGAAATGACATGTAATATATAATAAAATTTTATCATTTCACGTATCAATTTTATTTAACATATTAATTCACTTCTTATTTTTATGAGAGAAAATTGGATGAAAACTCATTAGAAGAGTTACATTAAGAAAATTTAGAAAATAAAGAGATCCGAAAAGTTAAAAAAAAGAAGCCACGTTAAAAAAAATCAAAACAGTACAAAGATGAAAATGTGATTAATTCCTAAAAACTATTTATCAATTGTTACTCTTTTTACACCAATATCATGTTAGTGCTCTACTTTCAAATATATATTTTTAAGTAATTAAGAGTATGTTGGTATTTGTTTGCTTTTATTTTTAAAATTTTAAAAGCTTGTTTTTTTTTTTTTTTTTTGAAAAAAAATTGATAACAAGTTTTGAAAACTTTAAAAAATCAATATTTTGTAAAACTAAAAAAGTGGTTTTCAAAATAACAAAGTAGTGGTTTCCAAAGCTTTCAAAATTGATTTTGTACACTATCAACATATGTTTTGGGAGTTGAGTCGAGTTCAAGAGTTGAAAAATAGACATGGATCATGCCCGAAGTTCGGATTAAAACTAGGTACATAACACCTTAGGTTCGGACCAATAACTTGTTTGAGGCACCCAAAAGTTGATCCGAGCCCCTAGAGTTTAGGTGCGAACCTAGTTTGGTTGATTGAAAGTCCGTACAAGACCAAATCCAAGGTGTTTTAAGTTTGGTTCGAGATCGATGTCGGGGTCCGGAATGCTTTGGGTTTCAGCGAGAATTGAATACGAAGCACCCAAAAGTTAGGCTAGGATCCAATTAGGGTGCTTAAGGCTCATATTGAAATCGGAGATGAGGTTAGGATCAAATTTAGGTTAGGAATGAGTTTGGTTCACTTAACGTTAAAGGGAGACCTAGTCCAAGGAGTATAGAGATCAAGTCTAAGGAACTTAAGGTTTTTGTTGGGACTAGGTTCAAGATGCTCGAAAATAGTATTGGAATCGAATCAAGATCCGGGTATTTCAAAATTGGATTATATACCGAGTTCTAGAATTCCAAGAATCAAGTTTGGGGTGTCCTGGATGTTTTTCGAGACCGGATTCGAGACATACAGGGTCAACTTTGGAATCTCATGAATCGATCTAAGATCTAGTACGGGATGCTAAGGTAGTAGGTCTAGTTTAGGTCCATGACGACTTAAAATCGGATCCAAGACATTTGAGTTTTGAGTCCGAAGAGTCCAGATGATAAATTTGAATAACTTGAATATCTATCGAAATTAAATATATGTTTTGAAAAAAAAAACTAGAAAAACAATAAAATAAAATAAAATTTTAATTTTTTTAAAAACAAAAAATTGAAAATAAAAATAAAAATCGAAACACAAAACATAAATGATAGTAAATAGCCCTAACATACTTGTTGTAAAGGATCCAACTAACTCTTAACCACATAGTAGATTTTCAAGGTGATGTCACGGTTATGATAAATCGCTGAAAGATAGAGGAGTGTAAGCAAAAAGGGAGAATACGGGGAGCAACGAGTAGAGATCATGGGGAAGCAACAAGTGGATAGTGAGAAAATAACGATCACTTGTTGAGGTGGCATTTATTATAACTAATGGCTAATGTGGCGTGAAAATTATAACAGATTAGGTGACATGGTAGTAGTTAGTTAGGTAGTTAAACATTGGTTAGTAACAATAAAAGATGTAACGACTAGTTTTACTAATCATTGAATGAAAATAACGTAAATTCATTTTTGAAGGTCTCTTTCTCTCTCGTCTCTCTTCTTTTTCTTCTTTTCCCTCGTAACTTCTTCTTTCTTTTAGTCGGTTTGTTAAGGAAAGTACTTAACAAATTGGTATCGGAGCTTCCTTTCGGGATCAATCATGATGGACAATAACGGACTTAGAGCTTTAAAGAAACACAATCGGAGGCATGAAGAATAGATGCGGTGGTATGCACCATGAGTTTCAAGAAGGTGTGGAAGAAATTAAAAAGTAAATACAGGAGTAAAACCACCAAACTTAGCTTCAATTCGAAGCTCTCATGAAGATGATTCAAACACTAACAATTGAGAAAGAATCCGAAAGAGAGCCTCGCTCATCTTCCAAGTTCATCGTATGGTGGAAATACAACTATCAAACCCACATATCAAGCCAATCCTAGTGAGTCCTTGTTAACTCTTGAGTTTATGAAAATTAGTTATGGTTCTTTAATACCTAAAGTAGAGTTACAATGGTTTGAAGGTGAAAATATCAAGGGTTGGGTTCGTAAATGCTAGAAGTATTTTAAAATGAAATTTATCCCAGCTTCAATAGTGGGTAGAAGTTGCTTTCATGTATTTAGAAGGGAGAGCTAAAATCCGGTTTGAAGGATTTATGGTCAAGCATGATTTAGGTAGCTAGGAGGAATTTATGGGGAAAATTTATAGGAGGTTTGGTAGTAGAGAAGATGCGATGGAAGAGTTTAACAAACTCAATCAAGATAAGGATGTAGAATGGTATGTAGAGAAGTTTAAAGAACTTAAATATTTGATATGTGCAAGTAATCCTTATTTCCTCGAGTTTTACTTTGTGTCTAGCTTTATTAGTGGACTCAAATAAGATATTAAACCTATACTTAAGATTTTGCAACCTACCACCTTAATGCAAGCTTTTTACCAAGCAAGATGGTAAGAAAAATCAGAATTACCGTGGCCATGAAGACCAAAATACCACAAAGAACCTATTACCCCTATAGCGAACACCCAAACTTACTCAAACCAATACCAATAAACCACACAATAACCAATTCCACAAATCTACCATTATTGTCACTAACATAAGAAAATACCTATCACCACAAACCTAAAAATTCCCTACCACCAAGGTCATAGCCAAAAACTTACATGATTAGAGGAGGAGGATGGGACTCTGCTCGGATGTAGAGATAAGTCTACTCCAAGCCATCGGTGTGTTAGGAAGGCACCGAATGTGATGGAGGGGCTGGAAGAAAATGGTGATGAATTTATGGATGTAGAGGAATGAATTAATGGAGAGGAGAGAGTAATGGAGGAAGGGTTGGATAAGGAGACTAGTTTGTGTTTACATGCCTTAGTTGAAAGATATACAAGCAACACTATCAAAATTAAAAGATGTTGTAAGCAAAAGGAAATCATTATCTTAGTTGACGAGTGGAAGTACTCGTTGTTTTATTAGTTTAAAAATGGTGCAAGAAGTAGGTGTTGTGATCAAGGAAACAACTACTCTTTCGATGACAAGTAGCTAATAGTGGCAAGCATGAAATGTTTAGCTAAGAGTCCAAGCTTAGTTTGGTTTATGCAGAGGCATGAATTCAAGGCTAATATAAGGATATTGGAATTGAGGGGTTGTGATATGATGTTGGGAGTAGATTAACTACGAATGTACTTATCGGCTTTGTTTGACTTCATCAATATGAATTTATCTTTTAAGAAAGGTAGGATGATTAAGCTAAAGGGCGTGATAGAAGTGGCTAAATTACGGATGGTTACAATGGATAAGGTCTACAAATCCTTAAAGACAATTGTGTATGGAGTAGTGAGGTAGGTTTTTTCTATTATAGCTTAGGATGAATCTAAAAAAATGGACACGAGTGAGATAAGGACACTACTACTAAGATATAATGAGGTATTTGCTAAATCTAAGATTTTACCACCTATGAGAAAATTTGACCATAGGATCCCTCTTATACCAATAGTTAAACCGATCAACATCAAACCCTATGAAGCTCTTTTATGCATAAAGAAGAGATTGAGAATTTAGCTAAGGAGATGTTGCATAATGGGGTCATTCAATTTAGTCAGTAGCCCTTTTGCATATTTAGTGTTATTGGTTAAAAAGAAAGATGAAACTTGGAGGTTTTGTGTGGATTACAATCAAGAATAAATTTTCAATACCTCCGATTAATGATCCGTTAGATGAGTTGCAGTGGTTCAACATTCTTTTCCAAAATTGACCTACGTTCGGGATACCATTAGGTCGAATTCATGAGGTAGACATAGAGAAAACTACCTTTAGGACCTACTAAGGGCATTATGAATTCAAAGTCATGCCTTTTGGGTTGACTAATGCTTCGACTACATTTTAGTCAATGATGAACTTAATCCCGGAACCATATTTGAGGAAATTTATCCTTGTATTCTTTGATGACATTTTGATATATAACCCTACATTAGAGTCTTACATTCAAGCATTTGGCCAAGGTGTTGAAGGTGTTGCGAAGGAATAAATTATATGCCATGAGGTATAAATGTACATTATGTCGGAACCAAGTGGAGTACTTGGGTCATATTATATCGAGGGCAAGGGTAGCTACCGATCCAAAAATATAGAAGCTATGAGTAGATGGCCGATCTCGAAGTCGATCAAAGAGTTAATAGGGTTTTTGGGGTTAGTCGGCTATTGTAAGAAGTTTATTCACAACTATGATCTAATCGGTAGACCACCGACAAACTTATTGAGAAAGAACGACTTCCATTGGAATGAGCGAGGCTCATAAAGCTTTTGAATAATTGAAGGCAAGGTTGTTTGTCGTACTAGTATTATGGCAGCAGGTGTACGAGTAGTATTATCTCGAGAGGGTAAACCTCTAATCTTCTTTAAGCAAGGCTTTATGTCCCAAGCATCAAGGGTTGTCCATTTATAAGTAGGAGTTTGGCTATTCTCATGGCGAATGGATAAATGGAGGCATTACCTAGAGGCGGATAAATGCGGTATTAAGACTAGCCATGAAAGCCTTAAATATCTTATAGAACGGAAGATTCACACTCATATTCAAAGAAAATGGCTTACAAAATTACCGAGGTTGAGATTTGACATTCAATACTAGAAAGGGAAAGAGAACATAGTAGTCGATGCCTCGTCCCACGGAGCTCATGACAATGGTGGTGCTACCGAAAGTTTTCAAGGAGAACACCTTTATTCCATAACCACCTTGGTTCCTACTTGGTACCAAGATATTATAGTATCATATCAGCAAGATGTCAAAGCACGGGAGGTCATCATAACTAAGGAGCTTCGGACTAGTGTTTTTCCTCAAATTTTTTTTTATAATAAATGCATATTGAGGTACAAGCACATGATTTATATTGGTGGAGATCGGGAGTTGAGGATATAGTTAGTAAAGGTTGCTCATCATTTTGCTATTGAAGGATATACGAGTATTTAAAATACCTACGAAGCTCAAACATGCTTTTTATCGGCTCGGTTAAGAAATTATTGGTTAAGGAAAAAGTGGATAGGTGCGATACTTGTATGAGAGCAAAGTTAGAGAGAGTAACTTACCTAGTGGTTATTACAATCATTGCCAATTCCAACAGGAGCATGAAGGGATATCTTTATGGATTTCATGAGAGTCCGCCTAAATCGAAGGCAATGACACTATATTAATGGTTATGGACGAGTTCACAAAGTATGGCTACTTTCTTGCTCTATCTCATCCCTTCACGACAAAGGATATGGCTAAAACATTCATGGAGCACATTTACAAATTGCATGGAGTACCAACCTCCATTGTTACATAGACATTGATAAGGTCTTTACTAGTGTGTTTTGGAGGGAGCTATCTAGGTCTCTAGGGGTTCAACTTCGTGTGAGCTCGACCTACCATCTCCAAATAGAGGGCCAAACTAAAAGGCCGAGTCGGTGCCTACAAACTTACCCGAGGTGTATGTGTATGGATTATCCATGAAGGTTGCACAAATGGCTACATTTGGCGCAGTGGTGGTACAATTCCAGCCTTCCATTCCGCCATTTAAAAGTCCTCATTTTAGGCTTTGAATGGCTATCCTCCTCTCCATGTGAAGCTCATTCCGCATGAAACATCTACTGTTCGATCGTTAAAGAAGTTGTATTGGAAAGAAGAGCTATGAACTTGTTCCTAGGTGCACAATTGGGCAAGGCATAACATCGGATGAAGCAAATAGCTAATCAAAAGAGGAATGAAAGGTGTTTGAAGTAGAAGATAAGGTTTATCTCAAGCTTCGACCTTATAGATAAATCGAGTGTAGCAATGAGGAAGAACATCAAATTGAATCCTAGGTATTTTGGCCCTTATTCCATTTTGTAGAAAGTGGGATAGGTTGCTCACAAATTGGAGCTACCATTCATCGCTTCTTGTCCGCCCATTTTTTCATGTTTCCCTTTTAAAACGGAAGGTTAAATAACACTATATCCTATTGTTGTTTTGGATCGCAAGATTATAAAGCGCAATAACCAAGCGAAGTGGTTATGAGGTTAATTCAATGGGCAAGAATGATAGTGGATGATGTCATCTCGGAAAGTGTTGGAGGACCCGAACATTAGTTTTCGGATTTTTGCTTCGATCCTCGAGGCAAGGATCTAGTTGAGGGAGAGGCAATTTTACAATTATGATAAATCACTATAAGGCAAAGGAGCACAAGCGAAAAAGGTAAAATGCGAAAGAACAACAATAGAAATTGCAAGGAAGCAATAGTGGATAGTGGGAAAATAACGATCACTTGCTGAGGTGACATTTGTTATAACTAATGGCCGACGTGGCATAAGGTTATAATAGATTAGGTGATGTGGCGGTAGTTAGTTAGGAAGTTAAACATTGGTTAGAAACAATAAAAGGTGTAATAGAAATTCATTTATGAAATTCTCTCTCTCTCTCTCGTCTCTTTTCTTCTTCTTCTCCCTCGGATCTTCTTCTTTCTTTTAGTCGGTTTGTTAAGGAAAGTACTTAACATTCTTCTTCTTCTCCCTCGGATCTTCTTCTTTCTTTTAGTCGGTTTGTTAAGGAAAGTACTTAACAGGTGAGCACTAGATCATTGTAGGGTTTAGCCATATTTAATTTTTTCAACATAAAAGGTGAACTTGTTGGTACTAGATCATGGATGAAAAGTAGAGGCCAAATAATTGAAAGACTTGTGTACAAGAGGGATATGGTATGCTTGATTTACGGTCCAAATGTGGGTCAGAACTCAGATAGAATTTGCAGTTTGTTCGACCCTAGAGGCAAGATGGTACGTACACCCACGGCAAGCACTCATTCTCATCCTCATCCTCTCTTTTTAATCAATGATCCAGCCTAGGACATTATCATATCAACATGCAGCGTGCAGAAAAATAGAAACGAAGGAAACATTAGAGGCCTAGGACATTATCATATCAACATGCAGCGTGCAGAAAAATAGAAACGAAGGAAACATTAGAGTGCAGACAAAAAATCTCTCTTTATTGTCTGATTCCGTTCAGGCTCCAACCCCACTCTTCCTGAGGAGAGCATGTCAAAAGTTTTTTTTTTTTTCCAAAACCAAAATCTTCTCCTCCGTCCTTTTCCATAACACCTTGGAGATTCCCCATGTCTTTGCATCAGTGCTCTTTCTTTTCAAAATTCAATAGAATATACAGAGACCAAGTCGCCTAATTCAGTAATTCTTTCCTTTCAAGCACAAAAATGCAAGCAAGGAAAGCCTTTCAATTTCATCTTTTGCTTGGTTTAACAAATCATGATGCAAGTAGAGAATCCTCTAAAAGTAGTCAGGGACGATACAACTCAAAAAGATGCACTTAACCGTTGTATGAAACCGCAGCCTAACCGTGGTTAACTAATTCAATCTGTATAATTGGTTCCACTTGAGCTGTACCAATAATTGGGGAAATGAATATATCAAAAGTGCCAAAATCAAAACCCAAAAAACTCTACCCATTTGCAGCAATCATCCTCATATCCATCCCAATCAAGAAAGCTAATAAATGATTCAACGAATACCACACAGAAATACAAAGTTTACTGGGTCCACAAGAAAAGCACTAGTTCAATCAAATTGTCTTTCTTTCATTGTTTTTGGGAGAGTCATTAAGACAGCAGGAACTGTAATGCAATGTAATGTAATGACATCATCAGCATGCAATGTGAAAGTCTATTTACAAAATCAAAACTTTAAAAGAGATGAGAAGAGAATATCAGTGAGAAAGAAGCAAAGAACCTATGTAAAAGATAAGCAAAGTTTCATATAGTTCCACTGCTAAGAGAATCACTGGGCCCGTCAACTCATGCTTGATTATCTTTCTTTCTCTTAAAGTACTCATGTCTTCTTTTAAGCAACCTAAGGTGGCATCTTCCTTTATCGTAATTGATCTTTACGAAAACTGAAAAAATCAAGAGATTGCTGATAATAGGGACAAAGTAGGGGTCAAAAGGACAGTTGCCCAGAACATGAGATTCTAAACTTGAGGTGCTTGATGCAAAACCAATTAGATATTAAATAAAGTTGCTTCTTCCAATTGTCCCAAACAAACTACAATCCAAAAGGCCAATAATGCTCAAGGTCACAACAGAAGTGCCTGTTCCCACTTCCCCCACAAAGTCAAAAAGGTTGGAAATAATTTTCAGGACAAGAGCTTCATACAATAGAAGACTGACTATATTGGGGTTTAAAAAGGCGTCAAGTAGTAGACAACACATCAAACCTTCACTGTAATCTCCCCAGACATCATGAGGAATCATTTGACAAACATAGGAAAGAATAAAGTGGTAGGTGAAAGTTCCCATCAAAAGCAGATCAGTAGATATGATCAGAAAATGGTGATGATGATCATCAATATAAACAGACAAATCAGATTTGGGCAGCTCTAACAACCAAAGAGATGAGTGGCCTTTAAATGTCACACATTATCTCTTTATTAACAGTTCATGACCAGGGTGTGGTCAATTAAACAATATATTAAAATCATACAAAGTACAGATGAGGAATCCTACCTACAGCACATCAATAAAGAAAGAACAAAATATTAAATTTAAATAATTATAACCCATCAAGATTAAGCATTGTTAAATTAAGTTTTCTATCCAACATATATATATATATATATATATATATTGCTTGAAAATAAAAACCTACAAAATTAGAAAGACCTCAAAAATACAAAATGTAATAAAGATGCATAATTGAAATTGATCAACAAGATGATACAATTACACATAACTTTATGTAAATTTGTTAAATTGTTATTACAATGGATTTGCATAAAATTAAACTGAGGCTTAAAGCCCTAAAATCACATATCATTAATTAGGAAGAGATTTATAATCTCATCAGGTTTCCTCCAATATCAAAATGCTCTTCTTATTATGCTATGAAAGAAAGTGGAGAATCTCTATGAAAGCTCAGTTGAATCGATTACCCGGATCTAATTCTCTTCGAATTGGCCTTTCCATTGGACTTCAATATTCCACTTGATTCACCTTCTGATGAAGGTTCCATTGACCTAGTGAAATTGCTTGAAAGATCAGCATAAAGATCGACCACCCTTCTAATGTTATTGTTTAGCTCCTTAATCAAACCAACATTTCGAGTCAAGTTGTCCGGGATCTTCGATTCGTGGTTTTGGTTTATTTCATTGATTAGCAACCTGTTTTGATCCAGAATGCCTTGAACTTGCACAAAACTCTTCTGGAATGTTTGCAAAACCTTGCCATCTACTTGGTTTCCATTGCTCAAGCCTGAAAATAAATCACCTTCCATTTCAATCTCAGTTCAATTGATCAAAACCAGTATTTTTCCTGCACAAAAAAGCCTGAGTTAAATACGGGATAAGAAGGGGAAAAGAAGAAGAAGAAGAAGAAGACAGAACCAAAAGGTTAGCTTTACTAAATTTGAAGGTCTCTACATTGAATTATTTTATCTCATCTCTTTGTACTTTTACAATAAAAAATCACAGGGACTGAGAAAATTGAATGATATTTAGCCTCTGTTTGGCTACTGAGGAAATACTATAAAAAGAAAAGAAACAAAGCCAAACGCAATAATTGGGCTTGGTTGGAAGTGATTATACATTTTTTTTTTTTTTTTGCTTTTCCTGCATTTTCTCAACACCCAAACAGATGACCAAGACAATGTAAAGAGCAGAGAATAAAGAAAAAAACAAAAAGGAAAAGACATATATGTATCGGTATTAATCTCTTTATGACATTAAAAAGAAAAGAAAAGCAGACTGCTTTTTCCCACAAAAAGGAACCTTTTCCCTAAAAACCCAATCCCAAGTTAAAGACCTTGAGTGGAGAATAACTCGAAACTATGATAGACCCCAACAAACCAGTCAATGCCAGATAAATACGCATAAAGAAGAAAAAGTACTCTCACAAGAAAACAAGAAAAACATTAGAATGGGTTCATATAAATTTTGAGAAAAACAATTATACAAGATCAAATTAGCTGAGAGAGAGAGATAGAGAAAGAGAGATCTATATTTCTTGAAATGAAAAAGAAAAAAAAACGAAAAGTTTGAGTAGCAGGTGAAGCTTTCTAAGAAACAGCCAAACAAAATTGGATTTGCAAGACAACTGAGAAGATTCTTTTCTTTGATATTGTTAAAAAATAAATATTTTATATAAGATAGACTAACAAAAATAAACCCAGAAGCCAAAAAATTATAATTCAGAAAACTTCTAATCTTGACACAGAAACACTAAGAAAGCAGAAAAAGAAAAGATAGAAAAAAAATCTAATCTAGACAGTCGTTGTCGTTGACTCCACTTACCTTGAACAGCAGCAGAAACATTTTAGTGGGCAAGAGGTAGAGAAAGGAAAAGTCAATTTCTTCACAAGAAAAAACAGGATTTTCTCGGGAAAGATTGAATGAAGACGAATGAAACTTTGGTGGGATTTTGAAGAAAGGGCCAGAAATAATGAAAAACCAAAAAAAAAAAACAGAAACAAAGAAATGGAGAGAACTCTGAGAAAGGGGTATAAGATTTGATTGACAGAGAAATAAGAAAGAAATATTCAGACAGAGAAACAAACACACACACAAATATAACGTTTTGTTTTGTATGTTAGATTCTCTCTCTCTCTCTCTATCTCTTACCTCGTTTACTTCACCAATAGTACCTTCGTTTATTTATTATTTATTGTTCATGTCTAGACGTTTATATACCCTGCAACGCTTCCCCGCTGTTGCGTACTACGGATTTGAACCTAGCCGTCTATTTAAGCCTCATCTGAAACGGCGTCGAAAAGAGTCTACAACTTAAACATTCCAAGAACGACGTCGCATCGAGTCTCCACTTATAATCGTGTATCACTCTTTTTTCGCCTCGCTGGTGCTAATTTAATTTTTCGAGAAAATGCACAAAAAACCACCCTCAAAATTATCTAACGTAACCAAATACTCCTACTCAACCACCGCATGCCTCCATGGACGCTCTCATCTCTTCAGCTCTCGAAGAAATCTGTTACCATGGTCCCACCGGAGTCTCTCTCTTCTCTCTGGTCGACGCTAAAGCCAAAACCTTCTCCTTCAGTCAAAGCCTCTCTATGGACAAACCTACAATCAATACCTTCTCTTCAATTCACTGTTCCTGGGAGCGACCTGCCGCTTAGCCCCAATGAATACAACATCAAGCGTTTTGAAGACGCCGAGAAGCTCGATTTGAAAATAGTAGCCAAAGAGCATCTTAGGGATTCCTTTGTTGGTCTTTACGACACTCCGTCTACTGGAATTTCTTCCAATCAACGCAATGCTCTTAAACGACTTGCCGTTGCTAGGTTTGTTCTTCTTCCTCCTAATTTTACAAAAATTCTCTGCTAATAATTTAGTTGAGAACTCCATAAAATTTGGCTGCATTTACTTAACTACTTAATTAGTCCATTAATTCGGTTCGCGTGCAAGTTAGAGTGATGTTTAGTGGTCATTAACACGTGCAGAGGGAATGGAATTACGCAAAACGCACTGGCGAAGGACTTGAAGATAGAAAATAATAACTTTTTTTATGTAGTGAGAAGTCTAGAGTGCCGAGGGTTGATTGTGAGGCAACCTGCGGTTGTGAAGATGAAAGATGTGAGTGTCACTACCAACTTGTTGTATTTATACCGTCACGCAAAGCATTTAGGCATTCAACAGAGGTTTGAGATCAATGAGGAATGCGTGGAGGAAACTAATGTACATAGGGATGGTTTTGATGGAGAGTCTTCTTCTAAAGACAATGTGCTCGTGAGGGATTATTTACCGGCTATGAAGGCCATTTGTGTCAAACTTGAAAAAGCCAATGACAAGGTACACTTTTTTTGTGTTTTTGTTTTTTTTTTTTTTTTTTTTTTAGTGTTTTTTTATCTTGGCAGTTACGATTTTGAGTTATGCTGATTTTCTGTTATTGAAGGTCCTTGTCATTTCAGATATCAAACGGGATCTTGGTTACAGTGGAAATAACGGACACAGAGCTTGGAGAAATGTAAGGTTTATAAGTTATTCATCTGTCCTACATATTTGATCTTGGTTCTGAGTCTAAGTTATTTCTGATTGTTTTTGTTGTAATATTCACTCTTCGATGTACTCTTAGATATTGCGTAGGTTGAAAGATGCCTGTGTGGTTGAGGAGTTTGAAGCTAAAGTTGATGGGAAGGTTTGTTTAAAAACCCTCTATTTGAGGACTGTTTCTATCTGATTATGTACAAGAACTCTTTGAGTTTAGGTCATCGCTTTTATAGCTTCTGTTTTTGGCAGGTTGAGTGTTGCCTACGTTTGTTACAAAAGTTTTCCCCTAAGAATTTTGAGTCCAAGACTCGTGGATGCGGCGAAGATTGTGACAATGAAGTGCTGGTGAAATTTGGGAAAATGACTCAACAAACTGACCAACTTGTAGAACTTTCCCTTGACCAGCAAATTTATGATTTGATTGATGCTGCAGGATCCAAGGGGGTTACTTTTACAGAGGTGGGCAGTGGTTCTTCTACTACTCTTATTGATTTTGGTGTAGCTCTGTAGGTTTAAAATACATTTTTCTTCTTAGTTTCATTCAGGGTTTAAAATTTAGAAGATTTTTCTACATTTTTCTGTTTTATTATTCTTCCTCTCCCTCTTGCCATCCCAAAACTACGTCATTGATTTTTCACACCAATTACATGCTATGCTTTATGTGAATCCGTTAGCCAAGACATGACCAATTTTTCCTATAATGGCACATTGCATTCCTTTCTCCATTATCTTTAGCACCTGATATATAGTCTCCTTTTTTAGAGTAATGTTGCTTTAACTGATGTTATCTTTGCAAATATCTTGTGCTTCCTTTTTTCTTAACTAATTGTGTTCCGACTTTTATTGTTTTTGCCAAATCGACATTTCTATGAGCAGGTGGGTAGGAGGCTGGGACTTGATAAGAAGAGAAACTATCCTCGGTTTGAAAATATGCTGTCTATGTTTGGGATGCACAGGCAGGCAGAAATCAACAAAAGAACTCCAGAATATAGAGTTTGGACTGCTGGAAATTCAAATTCTAACACACCAAATGCAGTTCTTTGTAAATCCAAAACTGTACTTGGCGACAATAATATTTCTGATTTGAATACTAGCAATATTGATATTCCTGGCAGACCTGATGAAGATTTATTAGAGTACGGTAATTCAACCTTGGCAGTTTGTTCTGCTACGTCTAAAAAACTGAATGATGAGAAAATTGATACAGATGTTTGTAGTGGCTCACCCGAGGATGGTAAAACCAACAATATGGACCTCTGTCCTGGAAATGTTCCAGACGCACTCCACAGGCCAAGAGGTACAGCTTCCAATGCAGAACTTAATTTAGAGAGCACACAAATGGAACCAGATGCTGCTCCATCAGTTAAAACGCCACCAACTTTGTCCATGCCACCTCATTCTGGATCCTCTCAGACACATCCGCATGCGCCTTTAACTGCTGATAGCGCCTTAAGGGAGAAGAAAATTCTTGAATGGTTACAGGTTTTTCATCATTCACTTCACTTGAAGCTTACACCAAGAGATTAACTATTGTATCTTCTGTGGTGTTTCCTGTAAATGTCTTTCTAGCAACTCATTTTCGGTATGATTGTTTTTATAGGAAAAGGTATTCATTTTGAGAACCGAGATACATAAGTGGCTTAAGAATCTTGAAGACAAGGGTACAACCATTGACAGGAAGACTATTGATCGAATTTTACGCAAGCTTGAGCAGCAAGGGCATTGCAAGTTGCAGCACATTATGGTCCCTGTTGTCACAAACTGTTCCGGAACTCGTGTCATCCTAGTGGTTCTGCACCCTTCTGTTCAAGGTTTTCCTCCTGAACTAATGGGTGAGATTCACGATAGATTGAGGGCTCTTGAAAAGCAAAGTCGTGGCGAGGGGACATCTAGGCTGAAGATTAAGGAATCAGTTCCTGTGTTAAATAGTGTAACAAGAACTCAGATCCATGCAAGTTCAGAAGAAAAGACTGCTAAATGGGAAGCCATGCGAGCCAATGGGTTTGTGTTTGCAAAAATGGGCCGTGCTCGGCTGCTGCATATTTTTTTGTGGAATCATCTAAGTAGTTTGTCCGAATGGAATGATGATTTATCATCTGGGTCCCTTTCATGTACTTACAAGTTGTTTGAATTTGAGGCTGTTATTGATGCCATTCCAATTGAGCTATTCTTACAGGTGGTAGGATCTGCTCAAAAGTATGATGATATGATTGAAAAGTGCAAGAGGGGTTTGCGTCTCTCTGATGTTCCTGTTGAAGAATACAAAAATCTGATGGATACTAGGGCCACTAGCAGACTGTCCTTGATCATTGACATTTTACGACGATTGAAGGTATGGTTTCTTGGTCACTAATGACTTTGTTGCACATGTCTAGCCTGTTGTTTCATGATTTTTGTGGCAATTTATTGATTTTAGCTTGTTCATCACTCTTTCTGTTGTTGTGTCGTGCTTTGAAACGTTTTATGTCAGTGAAATATGTACCTTTACCCATGTCCAGCTTCAAGTATCAATACTTAAGATCAAACCCATACAATCATTTGTCAATCTAGATGTGAAAGCGGCTTTCTTCAGTTGGATAAAAGCAAAGAATAGTGTCTGTTTGTGTGGTGATCAGAATGCTAAGGCAGTTGGGGGTTGGTTTCTTTCCAAAATACTTGTGCATCAGTTTTCCTCTTTGAACAAGAAAATTGTTGTTCACATTACAGTTGGTTTTGTGAATGTGCATCAGTCATCTTATCCACTTTACAATTGTTTCTGATGAATGAGCATCTTTCATCTTCAATTATGTCATGCCTCTTGTCTGGTTCTGTGATCTAGCTTATTCGTTTAGTACGTGATGGGCATTCAGAGGATGGAGTAAAGGTTCCACATGCGACATCCAGACATGCAATGGAGCTGAAACCTTATGTTGAAGAACCACTATCAATAGTGACAATATCTAATTTAAGATCTCTCGACCTTCGTCCAAGAATAAGACATGATTTTTTCCTGTCAAACAGACAAGCTGTTGATGAGTATTGGAAAACTCTGGAGTACTGCTACGCTGCTGCTCATCAAATAGCTGCTAAACATGCCTTTCCTGGATCTGTTGTACCTGAGGTATGTGCTTGATGTTTTGTTTGCCAAGTTTTTCTTGGAAAGGGATCATAATCAAAAGTTTCATCACATGCAAATTATAATGTAGATTGTGTTGCATCACTCTTAAGCGTGGGATTCTAGATGCTTATTAGTTAGCATGGAATTCCTTTGAGCCATTATTGATGCATCAATTAAATCCTATGGTGACCAAATAGCCACTTATATCTGGGCAATTTCAATCATGTAGTACATGAAACATTTACCAAACCACCCCCCCCCCCCCCAAACACAGTTATAATTGCATCTGTCTCATATGAAATGGTTGTTTCAGGTTTTCCATCACCGGTCATGGGCCTCCGTTCGAATTATGTCTGCTGATCAGCGTGCTGAGCTCCTAAAACGGATAGTGAAGGATGATCTCAGCAAAACTATTTCATACAAAGAGTGTGAAAAGATTGCAAAGGATCTTAATTTGACTTTACAACAGGTAAGATTGTGTGCACAACTGTTTTTTGTCTTTTCACTGTTGCTAGCTTGTGTTGCAATTTGCTTGACTTGGTCTGAATTCTCTCTCTGCTCTCTCTTGCCAGCAGGATGAGCTACTTTGTCTGGAAAAGTTTTTTTTTTTGCTAATTTCTCTTTTGGATATTCCAAGCAGGTGCTTCGTGTCTATTATGATAAGCACCATCATCGTCTTAATAGATTTCAAGGTATTGTAAATGCGAGTAAGGAGTATCAGCTGCCAAAAAAGAAACAGCCTTCATCTTCTAAGAAAAGAAAGAGATCATTAGGATCTAGCTCAATAAAGCGTGGTAGAGCTGATAATATAAATGCACAGTTTGACAAGCAAGGGCTTAGCAAATTACCCGATACTGTTGACCAATTCATGGTAGAAAAAGATCTTTCTTCTTCTGAACATGATCATTGGCCAGAACTCCAGGCCGATGATCATCTCAATACTTTGGAAGGACCAGGACCATCTGAAGATGAGGATTGTTCCTTAATCAACCATTGTGCATTTTCAAAGACGAAGCCAACACGCAGACCCAGGTTTTCATGGACAGATGAAGCAGATAGGTAGGTGGAAACTACTATCTCTTTATTCCTTCAGGAACAGCTGTCTGAAGCAGGTAATAGATTTCTGAAGCATGGTGTCCTGGGATTATCTGTAGTTGGTTCCGTGTAGGATGCCTTCAATCATGGAAGTTAAATTTGCTGTATGTCGTAATGATTCAATTGGGGAAAGTATAAATACAAGAAGTGAATACCTTTTTTTTTTTAATTAAATAACTGCTTGATATTTCTGGATATTTTCTTGAAGTTCAATCATAGTGTTCAACATTTTCACCTCTCATTTGTCTACCTGGTCTATCTGAGTTGAGTTTGGATTTTATTCCTGAAGATGGAGGGAGACTTTTTTGCTATTTCATGAGTATAAACTTAAAATCTCTGCATTTTGATGACTTTCCCTTCTTACAGGCAATTAGTGATCCAATATGCAAGACATCGTGCAGTTCTTGGGCCAAAATTTCACCGTGTAGATTGGAATGCACTTCCTGATCTACCAGCGGAACCAGGAATTTGCTCAAGAAGGATGTCATCCCTGTTTAGGCAAAACGCAAGATTTAGACCAGCTCTAATGAAGCTCTGCAACATGCTTGGTGAACGCTATGCAAAGCACCTGCAGAAAACCCAGAACAGGTTTAATAACAATGAAAGCAGAGGTCTTTTGCGATGCTCTGCCAGGGATGATCTTGAATGCAAGTTCTCCAATGTTGATGAATGTGATGAAGAAGCAGGTTCTGAAGAAGAGCGTTGGGATGATTTTAAGGAAAAAAGTATTAGAAAAGTCATAGAGGATGCTTTCCACTGCAAGCAAATGAGTAAATTGCAGATCTCTAAGAGAGTTGGACCTGCCTCTGAAGAATTGAGTGATTTAAACTCAAATGTTTCAGGACACGTACATCTCTGACACCCTCTACAATTACACATTCTTTCTTTTAATCATTCCTGCATTGACAGTAATGCAATTAAAAATATCATTTTAGTTAGGAATGACTAGATATTTAAGGTCGGCCTTCTTGTGTATTTGATTTTGGTGAATATCAGAATTGACAGGAGTGTCCTTATATATCTGTAGTTGTCACTGACAATGTTCATGGCTATCCATATGAACTCATTTCATGTGTTGCAGCTAACAACAGTTTTGTGGTAGCTACTCTTTTTTGGATAATGGTTGCTGCTGTTGAGTACTCCTCAAAGTGTATGGCTCAAATACATATTCTTTCTTGCAGAATCAAATGGAGTCTGAATCGGTTCTGTCAAATGCTCCCAACGAGGACAGGCAGAAACTTGGCATTGGAAAACGAAAAGATTCTGCACGAAAATCAAGGCAATATCATTTTCATCAGAAGTTTACTAAGCTTTCAAACGAAGGGACTAGTGCTAGTAGACAAGTGCACAAGTCTTTGGCTATTTCTAATGCTGTAGAACTCTTGAAGCTTGTCTTCTTGAGCACCTCAACAGCACCAGAGATGCAAAATCTTTTGGCAGAAACATTACGACGTTATTCTGAACATGATCTGTTTGCAGCTTTTAGCTACCTCAGAGAGAAGAAAATCTTGGTAAAGCTTAATTTTCTATTCTCGAGTTTATTGCAGTCATTGCGGCTAGCTATGCATGTGATTTGTGACCAAAATATGTGTCATGAGATGAGGACATGCATACCTATTATCTACTTAGACTCTTTTGGTTTTCTAGTAATGTAGAAAGTGCTGAAACATTAACACCCCCTATCATTACAATCTTCTTTGTTCATGATTGTAACATGTTAGGCCAATTGTTACCACTGTGTTGTCTCATATATGCATTTATCTTTTTTCTCACTCTATCTGTTCTTTTATTGATACTTCCTAATTTCAGAGACCTTATTGACTAAATATTCTGTAGCATGCAAGAAAGTCCACACTCTGCCATTTGCTTTTTAAAGTGATTGCCTTCCAGAAAATTAATCCTCAATGTACTTGTTGCTGATACCCGAGATGGTTTGTGCAACCACGAGTTCTGATATAACATCACAAGCACATGAAAAATTATTTTAGTATAATTGTATTACTTCTTGTGTTGGAAACATACTTGTACCTTGTAAAACTTTTACTTATTGAGAGTAGTCACTTGCATAAATTCAAGGTCTCTAATAACTGGTCTTTCAATTATAGTTCACTCCTTTCTCCTTGCCTCATGCAGCTCTTGTTTCTTGCAGATTTAATTTATTACAAATGACCTTTTTGACTTTCTATTTCCGTTCTACCTTTCTGCTCTTATAATTTTTACGATATAAAGTTAACCTTTTCACCTCTTACGTTTCTTCACTTCTTCACCGCTTGACAGATTGGGGGCAGTGGTGGTCAACCTTTTGTGCTATCTCAACAGTTCCTGGCCAGTGTTTCTAAATCTCCATTTCCATCTAATGCTGGAAAGAGGGCTGCTAAACTTTCCAGTTGGTTTCATGAAAGAGAAAGGGAAATTGTGGAAGAAGGGGTTGATCTTACTGCAGATTTGCAGTGTGGAGACATTTTTCAGTTGTTTGCTCAAGTTTCTTCGGGCGAGTTGTCCATTTGTCCATGCATGCCAGTTGAAGGTGTGGGAGAAGCCGAAGACCTAAGAAGCTTGAAACGCAAAGCTGAGGAAGACGGTTTTTTTGATGGTGATAAGGGCAAAAAATTGAAATCACTGGCAGATAGTGAGCTTTTTTCTCGCCGAGAAAAGGGCTTTCCCGGTATAGTGGTGTCTGTGCATCGTGCAGCAATGCTAACCATTAATTCTCTAGATTTGCTCAAAGACAGGGAGACTTGTAGAGGTGAAATTTGTTGGAATGATATGCTTAATGCTGCTTTAGATCAGGAAATCAGTGGCAGTTCATCTTGTAGCAAAAATGAGCAGGAAATTCCCAATTTTGGCAGTGCAATCCCTACCGCAGCATGGTCCAGCATGTCACCTTGGGAGGCTATGACATGCTATTTGGAATATCTGGTTTCAAAACCTTATGATCGATTTCAAATGAATCCTGATGTCCTTAGGACCATTTATGCTGCTATTCAGAAGGCTGGTGATCAGGGTTTGAACATGGAAGACATTTCCCAAGTTACAGGTATGCCCCCCCCCCCTCCAAAAAAAAAAAAAAAAAGGCTTTGTACTTTAACTTTGGGAAATATATCATTTATGCATAAGCTCTGCTGAATATATTTTTTACGTCTTTCAGGAGAAATTATGGATATGCACATCATTGATGTTCTCCAGGCATTTGGACGAGTTTTGAAGGTCGGTTTTACTTTCAATTATGGAGAAACTCTTTTATTCTAATTAAAGAAATTCTAGGATGGTGTACCTGCAACAGTGCACTTAAAACATGCAGTTGGGGCTGTTGCAATTTTTAATACATCTTCCTGGGGTATCTTCCATTCTCCTCATGTCTGCCTTCTATCTTGTTAATGTATTAATTATTATAATTAATCCAATAGATGGCAGACTGTGATAGTTAAAGATTTTGGTTTTAGTGGCTGTGGGGTGGTTTTTGCTTTGAGTTTATGCCGAATCCAGTATCACCATCAAGTATTTGTCTCATAGTTCTGGTGGAAGATGGGGAAACAGGTTAAGGTTGATGACAACATGGACGCACACAAATACATCGTATTCTAGATGTGATGACATAAATTCCCTTAAATCTCATTTATGAATTCAGCCTGGATTTGGTGCCGTAAACTTGGAACTCAAGAAAAATTATAATATGCTGCATTTTGTACAGGTCAATGCTTACGAATCTGTTCGCGTTGTTGATGCATTATATCGCTCCAAGTACTTCCTTACCTCACTGGCTGGCTCTCGTCAAGATCTTACAACACATTCAGCGACAAAGTCCTTAGAGACGATTGATGATGGCCATCTAACTTTTCAGCCTGAAAATCACAATGTAGTTGGTACTAGTTCACAGAGGGAAGTGGTCATGGGTAATCATGACATGCACAAAGTTACAATTCTTAATCTTCCCGAAGACTTTGTGGCGATGAATGAAGCCCAAAATAGCATTGCACATGAAAGCCATTTACAAGAAAAACTAATTTCACCAGAACAGGTTATTGAGGGGGAAACCTTTTCTGGTGAAATATGTATGCCAATCTTGCCATGGATAAATGGAGATGGGGCTATCAATAAAGTTGTCTACAATGGACTTTTACGTCGTATTCTTGGTACTGTGATGCAAAATCCTGGTATAATGGAGGTATGTTGACACTTAGGTAATATCATAATGTCATCAAAATTTTGAGGTATAATTATTATCCAATCCCATACCTCTTAGTGATACTGTATGTTTAGCCATGTGCTATCACTGGTAGCGAAATTACCCAGAAAAATAAGGGAAATGACATAGCCTATCCTTATATAATGGGCTTTGTGTCCAATCTGTCCATACATCCTACAATGAGCCACTTATGTCCCTGTATTTTCTTGAGTTTTCAATCCATACTTCTGATGATTTTTTCTTGCAAAACCATTAGAAAATGTCATGTGATTTGCACGTGACTAATTTTATGTCAAAAATGCCTCTCAGATGATTGGGCATGTGCAAACCACATGGATGGCAGATATTTGGTGTTCTAGTGTGATTTTGGGTGAAAATTGGTGGGTATGTAGCGTTAGGCTTGGGTTTTGATGATTAAAAGGGGTTTAAGGTGGTGGTGGCTAGAAAATAGAAGAAAAATGGAGGAAAGTGGTGGGTTAGAGCTTGATTTTGGTTGGAAAAGGGTGAGGGAAAGGTAGAAAAGGTTGTCTAGGGGCGTAGATCGACGGGTTAGAGCTTGATTTTAGGTGAAATATGGAAGATTTGGCCAGGAAAAATGGAGGTTTGGGGGGTGGTGGGTTGGTTGTTTTGGGTTGATTTTGGCTGCATTTTTGGAGAAGGGAAGGAGAGGAAGAAGGGGAAGAAGAAGAAGAAGATAAAAGAAGGAAAAAAATGGGTTTGGTGCTCGTCCTTTGCCAGATTCCGACCAAAGTGGGGGAGAAGGTGGTGACTTGAGGGGCATTTTCAGTATAAAATTAGTCATGTGCAAAGCACGTGATATTTTTTGATGGTTTTGTCAAAAAAAGTCATCAGAATGATAGATTGGAAACCCGCTTAATATACAATGATATAATTAGCTCATCTTAGGATATAAGGATAGATGGGGCACTTACATCACTATATAAGGACAGGGTGGGCTATTTCCTAAAAAATTAATGTCTAGAGTTCGCTTTTAATATCAAACTTTTGATTTTGTCAACTTGCACATATTTGTAACTTTTGAAAATTTGTTTCATTTCAGTATAACTTTGAAAGTTTTGGATATCTTTTTTATATCATACATTGCAGTTTAAATTTGAAGTATTGGTTTTAAAATATTTGACTGCAGGGTTTCATTGAGATGTAGTGAAATTTAGGGACTTTTTTATTTGTTTCTAGTCTGTCTGCTGCAAACTTGAACAAGTTGCTCCTTTTGGAGATTGTTCATCAAGGTTTTTATTTTCTAACATGCGCTTTAAGGACACATATTAACCCAAACAAATGGCGGCTCTTTACTTTGATAATCAAGAAACATCCTAATCAACAATGCATTATTGCTGATTATTGGAATTTAAACCTTTGATTTACAGTCGTTAGCATGTGCCCTTAGAGCACATGTTAGAAATACCATTTAAAAAGACTGTCATTTGTCTTCTCACTTTTTGCTCACTGTTGTCTTTCATTATTTTGGCAGGAGAATATTATACACCATGTTGATGTATTAAACCCCCAGGTATGCTATTGTATTAGTTATCACTAAAGCTTTTCGTGTTAGCTCAGTCATAAAATGTCCCTTGTCTGTCCAATAAGAATTGTGCCACCATTAGTAATGGATGAAATGAAGCCTTTGAAATAAATAAAAAATACTTTTTGACTGATATATCTTCTGCTAGGATCAGGATATATGCACTCTGGACATGAAGTGCAACTCAGCTTTGCAGCAGTTTTTTTCTGTCACTGTTCCTCTAAGACCATGAAATTGTGTCACCATGCCATCTATTATTGCTCGGGAACATGTTTTTCTTATTTACCATCCACTTTATCAAGATGACCTACTTTTAATTTTCATGATTTTTTTTTTTTTTTTTTGGTGGAGACTGCATATATTTGCATGTTCAGGCATTGTGCTGTTTTGTCCTTAGCCTAATGAAAATGCTAGCAAGAAAGAAGTAAGTAAAACTTGTACTAATGTTCTCTGTAACTTTTCCTTGTGTAATCACAGTGAACATATAGTTATTGTTCTGTATTTAAATTTGGTCGTAGCTGATGCTGTCAGTCAAGTAGTGATTATAGAAGCTGGATTTATGAAAGGAAAAGAGCCTTGCTTTTTTCCCCTTTTTTATGCTTATGTTGCTTTTGTAAGCGGGTTGGACCTGACAGCTAATTCTGACATGTAACTTCTCATTGTGGATCCTTCATTTTATTTACTATTTTGACCCAATTCCATCATGAACATGCATATATACAAATATTTGGTGAATTTTCCTGTGCTTTACATGCATCATTGATGTTGTGTATTTTAATCGTTTTTGTAGAGCTGTAGAAATCTGTTGGAGTTAATGGTTTTGGATAAACACCTTATTGTGAAGAAGATGCATCAATCTACATCAAGTGGGCCTCCTGCCATATTGGGAACCCTCCTTGGAAATAGCTTCAGAGAACCAAAGTTGGTATACCGTGAGCATTTCTTTGCCAATCCCATGAGTGCATCCCTGCTGTAGGGCGGTTGCTTCTTCTTCATGTATTGTCGGTCAGCATTTTTGGGAGCAGCCACCAGTTTTCTTTCGAGAAACACACCAAACTAGATGTGTATAGTTAGTGGTGTATAAAGTTTCATTATATAGGATCTGTATTTTAAGGATTACAAATGTTTGTACAGATCTTCTATGGAAATAACATAAAGTACAGCAACAATGATTATTAGCGATGGTCTTGGCATTGCTGATTGCTGGCTGTGTGGCTGCAGAAAGTGTAGTCCATGCATCTTCCTTTGTTATTGACAAACATCCAAATCTCTTGCAGATATCTGCTTGCGGCAATCACAAAGCAGTAGGTCAGTAAAATGAAGAATTATCTTTGTTGCTGTAGTTTGCTGAGATCTGCGGTTGAACCTGGGGAGTAAATCTATTTGGAAATATATATAAATAAAAACAATGATAAATTTTTTTGAGATTGAGGGAATAATTAATATCAATAGAGCTTGTTGGCCTGCTTTGTAATATAGTTGTGACAAATTAGCTTACCTTCCAAGAGATTGGTTTTAATAAAAGCAATGCTTTCAAGATATCGAGAGAAGCGTTTCTCCTGTTTTTTGGACGATAAATTTGTAGCATTTTGGTGAAATTGAAAAGCAACATTTTATTTGGGAGAAAAAGATGAATTTGTCCCCAAACTGTAATGTTCCTCCTATTGATTGTTTCAATTGAATCCCGTACCTATTGATTATGCTCGATTAACCACCACTATCATCTACAATCAATGGATCCTTTAATTCTACAGTTGCCTTCAATTTTAACATGATTTTTAGTGCAAAACTAAGACTTCTTTGGCACTAAAATTCACAACCATTTGTTCCTAACCCCTTTCTTTTGACATGCGAAATGAGCACAAACAATAAATTGGTCTCGGACTTTGTACTATAATTTTAAATAGTGATTGCGAGTTGAAAAAATAGTTGCTATTGTGAATAATGGCTTATCACGGTTGTAAAATAACGATTGCGATAGGCGATGTTGTGAATATATTAGTAAATGCTAATAAATTTATTCTAATTCAAATATTTTTGACATTTTTATCAATTAAACATACTAATAAGTAATAACATCTTTAATAGTTTAATAACATATAACAATAGTTAAATTTATTACAAAAAATAATTAATAACACTTTCAATAGATTAATATCACATGAAAAATAATAAAATACATTATAATTTCAATATACACATTACAAAATATTCATCTCCAAAAAGATCATGGTTGAGGATCATAATAATTGCTATCATCTTGTTGTTGATTTTATGATCCTTGTCTATCAAAATTACAACCATAACTATGTTGTCCTTCCAAATCTTATTGCCCAAATAATGAAGTAGTAATAGATAATCCAATTTCTTGAGGATATTGTGGATTTGAAATTGACTGGTTTGATGAAGTACCATATGAATGATAAGATACATAACCATATACTTGTAGACCTTGTGAGTGGTACTATTGTCCTTGGCCATGATTGAAGCTAGAAATCAAATTATCTTCGGAAGAGACAAAGTGATGTCCATGATCATGTAGTATGGTATCACTAAATTGTTATTGTTCTACTATTGGTGCTTTATTTCTAGCACTCGAATCTAGGTATAATAGGACCATACAACCCATGATTATATAGAACTGGATTGACACTACTATCAAAAGTTATTCCCTTTCCACAACCTCTATCATTGCTACTACTATTATTACCATTATGAGAAGCTCCTAGATCATTAGGTTCCTCATCTTGATCATCATCACCACCATTATCACTATCATGCGGATTTCTAGCACCGATTCTAGGTACAATAAGACCATACAACCTATGACTATATAAAACTAGATTGACACTACTATCAAAAGCTATTCCCTTTCCACAACCTCCATCATTGCTACTACTACTATTATCTGTTATGAGAAGCTCTTAGATCACTAGGTTTCTCATCTTGATCATCATCACCATCATTATCACTATCATGTGGATTAGTTTGATCATTAGGATTGTTTTTATCGTTTTCTTCAAGCACCATCGTCATCATCGCTATCGTCATCATGCACATGCAACCAATTCATATTTTATCCTTCAAGGACTAGTTGTTCATTTTCCTCCAATAAGCAAATAGTGGATCATCTTCATAAAATATATAAACTAAATCAATTGGATTAAAACTTTCCTCTAATTCTTTCCGACTCTTTCGCAATATATTTCTTAACCTCGACTTCATGTTGTAATGAAGATAAACAAGATCGTGTAATTTTTTTTACTTTAACCTCGTTTCTTATCTTCATATGCACTAGGTTAAAAGTACTTCAATTTCTCTCACAATTTGAAGCGAAGTTGTTTGACTCAAAATCTACATTGCAATCTTTCTAAGTGTTGGAGCATCATTTCCATAACTATTCCACCACTTAGCTACATTAAACAAATAAATTTTCATAAATTAAAAAAATAACTCTAATAATATTTATAGTATGAAATTTTATAAATTAATAAAGTACTTGGATTTATTGAATACACAACCTTCGAGTTATGGTTAAGCCAAATATTTGTTTCTTCAAACTATACGAGTTCTAACTACATATTTAAATTAAAAAATATATTTTAATAATATTATACATTAATATATATTATATAATATTAAATATTTTTAGCGTCTTATATTATCACAATTCACAAGATCATTTAATGTCCTTTATTGATGGTTTTGATTTGGTTATCAATGTCGATTCTAATCTCATAATTACACTTCGACATCTTACATGATTTTTTCTTCTTGACAAATTGGATTCTCTTAGAGTACATAATGATATTGAGGATTCAAAAAATAACCTATAAAAACAAAAAGAGTAAATAATATTACTTCTAAATGATATTTAAGTATAAATAATAATTGAAGATATCGTTAGATTGTTATGATTAATTTACGTAAATTTATATACTTACCGACCATATGTAAGTCTATATGTAATTGAAATTCCCATCATTTATCAATTATGTTGCACCACATTTATGAATATTGATAATTTGCTTGAATTTTTTACTTTGTTCTTTGTAGTGCTTCGTAGATAAACCCAATAGTCAACTTGTCATCGCCATCCATAAATTTTAAAACCTTTACGATTGGCTTCTTGATGGCTATCACTTCACCCATCTTCTTCTAGAATCTAATTGCTTGTGCATCTTCTTGCAACACTAATATGTGAACGTCAATAGCAAGTCAATCCGTCATCTTCTCATATCTAGAATTATTCAAAGCTTCCAACTTCCACTTCTTCTTAAGTGCATCCTTAAACTTAACAATGCTTTTCAAAGCAACAAAATTGGTGGCAAATTTAGTGATGCCGAGCCAAAGCAAGTCACGACCATTAGTAAATTTTTTCATTTAATTAACTACCCAATTATAATTATAAATAAATTAGGTGATTTTTTTTTTTGGCCTTTTGAAGCGCTTCTTTGACCTTGGATTTCTTTCTAATGTCTTCTAAAATTAGATCCAAACAACGAGCATAACAAGTTGACCAATATAGGCAGGGACAAATCGTATTAACTTTTTTCTTGCAATTTTCATAGCGAGCTTCATTATCGGTCACTATCCGGACCACTTTATGTTCGCTAACTTCATCCAACACTTTCTTCATCATCCTAAAATAATATTCAACATCCTTTATTAGCACATTTGATGCTTCAACTGATTTGATGAATATCGTATTTCGATTTGAATAAACTAAAAAATTGGTAATGTGCATTTTAATCGGTTCGGACCATCCATCACTCATGATTATGACACCTCTCTCATTTCATATATTTTTATAATCTTTGATGTGCTTCTTTATATTTGTCATCTCTTCTATCAAAGACAACTCGAAATATCATAAGCATTAAGAGGTGGAATTCGGAACCAACTTCAACGACAGTTGAAGCATTATTGAAAATCAAGGAAATTCCATAACATTAAATGGGATTCTCTCATGAATAAAAAAAAATATCCAATTGCTCTTCTTAATGTTGCTTTTCCAATTTTATATAACCGAGAACTTATTTACTTTTGTTTTTTTTCTTTTATAATCTTTTGCAAAACCACTTCATCTTCTTACAACTTTTCCAATCGTTCCCTTTAAGTTGATTGTGAAGGAATTGATGGAATACCACCATGTCATCTTCTTGAACCAGCTTTTTCATACAAACTTTGTGAACGACGTATGATAGGAGCTTATTGGTGTTGTCCTTTTCTAGAACCAAAACGCTCCTCATATAAATCTCTTATGCTTACTTTATAGTTATCCCTCTCATATTGCATTGTACTCTCTTGTCTTGTATAAGACATGAGCTCTTCATCTTCATTATCACCCTTTTGTTCTCGAATAAGAGAATCCATAATCTCATCCTTAAGTTGACTTTGTCCGATGGCTTTATTTTGTTTCATGGCTTTATAATTATTTAAGAATTTCATCATATCTTTTCTAATATCATTAGGAACACTTAAGCAACTAGCAATATTTCCTTTTTTATGAATTATGTGCTTTGTGATATGAGTGATTCCTCCTTTAACCACCTCTCTACAATACTTGTATTATAACTTGCATGTACTCGTCATCCAACGAAATAGCAAATTTGCAACCAATGTCCGCACTTGGAGGTTATTGTTGTTCTATTGTTTCTTCTCTATCTCGTAACGTTTTTTAGTAACCTAGTATGTTAGGAAAATAAAAAAAATAACGTAAGTAATTAATTTAAATATCATTATAATTTTAGAATTATGCATGCCTAATGCAAATATTCACATTATTAAATTACACAAAATAAAATATATATATATATATATATATATATATATATATATATAAGAGGTCTTCATGAAGAAAGGCCTTTTTGACATTGAGTTGATGCGAGTGGCCAAGAAAGTAATTTTGCTTATAACGAGATAGAGAGGGAGAAAGATCAAGTCAATCCGCATTGTTATTTGATTATTCCGCTT